TTTAAAAAAATGATTCCATGTTCAAACTAAAACGACTTTAATAGAACTTTCCTTTCCAGAAATAATAATAAGGAAATAAGGCATTTTTTAAAAATGTGGTCCTGAACAAGTCACAGTCAAAAAATAAATGTATACTTAACTCCTCCTCCTCAAAACAGGGGCTACTTTCTGCTCTGCAGCCTTGGAAACAAGGTGAAGAACAGCCTATAAGCAAATTCGGGTGTGGGGTTGCCAAAACAAAGCTCAAGCAGTTGAACATGGACACCTCAGAAGAATTTGGGGGAACCTGACCAAAGAATCTGAATTGTATTTTTAATAACTGATACAAAGATGAAGTGGTTCCTCCCAAGTGTTGGTGCTGCTGGGGCCTGGCCCAGTCCCTTGCTCACCTATACTCTGCTCCTGAGCAAACCCCAGTGCTTCTGCTCCAGGAGAGACTTGTCTCCTTTTAGAGGCTCAGTGTTCAGGGAGGTCTTTGATTATATAAATGAGGTGAGCGCCGACTCCATGGGGTATTTTAAGGCTTGGAGTCAAAGATTTTTTTTTTTTTTCCTAACATGACTAGGTAGAGTCCATGTGTCAATGGCCTGTCTCTTGTTCTTACCTCACATTTGTAGATCTAGGACTGCAGATCTTTGCTATATCATCATAATCACATTTAATGTCCATCCTAACTTATGATTTATATTCTGTGCCTGGAAACAGTCCCTGTATTTAACAATAATACCTACACATAAAACAATCCACTGTTACAACTTAGGTCACGAAACATCAATGATTAGTCTACAGACCAAGCAAATGTTTTTCTTTCTTTCTTTCTTTCTTTTTTTTTTTTTTTTGGTGATGCTGGGGATTGAATCCAGGGCCTTGTGCATACCAGGTAAGCACTCTACTGACTGAGCTATATCCCCAGCCCCACAAGCAAGTGTTTTTAACTATAATTGTTGTGCATCAAATTCACAGCCAGAATCCCGGAGTTCAAAACAAATTTTTTTTTGCACAATACAAATAAAAACTTAAAATACACATACACACATATACACACTCTCTCACACACACTTCTTACAGAACTGTGCTTGGGGAAACTCCATTTGTTGAGTGCCACTGAAGGCATATTTTGCTAAACTGCTGCTCCAGGTATTTTTGTTTGGAAACTCTGTCCCAGTAGGGCACAGCTGTTTATTGGATGAGCAGAAAAGAAAGATATGCTTGTGGCAACCAGAAAGGTGTTTCAAGTTGTATAAAACGGACCTGCAGAAACGTTCAAGTGTTCTCAGGATGCAAAGTTTTGGAGCTGAAATGTGACATCAAGCCAGTTGCAAAATGTACAGGGCCATCTCTTGAGGTCAAACCTGGTGCGCAGATAATGCAAGAAAGCTTCAGGAGACCCAGCTTATGGGTCTTGTTCCGTGTCTCCGCATAATCGGATCATGTGTGAATTCACAAAAGATTCCTACTGCCATGCTAGTTTGGTACTGAGGATTTGCTCATACTCCTCCCGTATTTTATCTCCCTAGTCTTTTAAAAGCCTCTCGCATATTATTCCAAGTTGTCAAGGGCGAAGGCGGGCTGGTCCTTCTTCATCAGGAGGACCTGGGCATCAGTGCTGTGAGTGCTGGGAGGGAGGCCGGCCTTCTGAAGTGCGAGCTGCATTCTGACTGAGAACGACTTCTAAACGTCTCCACCTCTGATGACCACTATATTCTTGCTTTATGTTCTGAAGATTGCTCTGGAGTCGGAAGGCGCCGCTCGCCGCTGGGCGGGGCGAGCGCTGTAGATTCCGCGGCTCCGCGTCCTAAGGGCCTGGGCCGGGGGGGGCGGGGCGGGGCCGGGGGCCGGGGCGGGGCCCAGCACCGCGCTCCGGGGAACCTGGGCTCAGCAGCGCCGCCTGAGCTCCAGGGGCCGCGTCAGCGTTGCTCCGCACGTCAAGCCGCTGAGGGGCCAGGGGCCAGGGACCAGGGACCAGCATGACAACTTTTGACCCAGCATTTCCATTGTATTAGCTGTTAGGATTTAGAGGCAATTTCGCGGACACGGGAGGGTGTACGTAGGCTGTTTGCAAACACTGCCTCATTTTAAATGAGGGACTCGAGCATCCTCAGGTTCTGTATCTATGAGAGTCCTGGAGCCACTCTCCTACAGCTACCAAGGGACGACTTTATTGTAGTGACAATCCACAGGTGACTCCCAAGTTCTCCAGTTGAAGCGGCACCGGCATGGCCCAGGAGCAATGCTCTGGCCTGCTTTGCATAGTCCCCCAAGTTGAGTCCCCTCCTCTGTCCAGAGGAGACTCCAACAGAGTCATGTGAACAGCAGAGTGGGCTGGTGACAGTAAATGGGCAGGCCTGCTTCTAATTATCACTGTAGACAAGTCATGAGCTGTCTGAGCCTGGGCTTCCTGTGGTCACCAAGAGAGTATGTTTATAAAGGAACTCCATGGTGTCCCCAGTCACTAGCCAGCTAGCAGGAGAAGTAGGAGGTGGGAAGGTGTCAGACCCACGAGGTACCCTCTTGGGGCACAGGCTAAGCTGGGGGGCTCCATACAGAGAAAAGATGAAAGGTGAAAGAACTGTCCACACTGGGTCTGAAGAGCCAGAGCTGCCCTTCAGCCCCGTTGATACAGCCACCTTCTGCTCTTAGGTCTCCTTTGCCATCCTCTCCAATGCAGCCACATTGGACAGCCAACCTGGTATGGCTGGAGCCCTGCAGGCTGTCCACATGGGAGAGGAGGCTGGAGGAGAGGTTTGGACACTTGCACAGGACATGGACTGGGGTGCTCTTAGGGCCATCCCTGCCCTGGCAGCTGGGCCACTGGGCTGTTGGAGGCCTGGAGCATGCCTGCTTGATCTTCTCACTGTGACGGTGACAAGCAGGTGCCTGGCTCTGCCACTATCTAGCTGTGCACTGTGCTAGTTCTCTAATGGTGCTTAGCAAGTCACCCAACACTGAGTGGTTCAAACAGTGTCCATATTTATTTCTCTCATGCACCTGCAATCAACCTGGGGAGAGCAGGGCAGGAATGGCATAGTGAAGGCAGGGGCTAGAGTTTCAGGAAAGTTTGTTCAGGGGAACTGTCTGTTGACAATGCTGGGGTTCCCTGGGCATGTCTCTGTATAGCCTCTCCCTATCCATGGTGTCTCTAGCATGGTGGCTTCTGGGTGGCTGAACTTACATTCCTTACTCTCAGGATTCTGCTGGGAGTGATGGTGCCTGCTTGTCATCCCAGCAACTAGGGAGGCTGGAACAAGTGGACAAGTGGATCACAAGCTCAAGGTCAGCCTGGGCAATTTAGTAAGGTCCTGACTCAAAACAATAAATAAAAAGGGCTGAGTTCATAGCATAGTCGTAGAGCACCCCTGGATTCAATCCACAGAATTGGGAAAAAAAAAAAAGGCCCTCAGGATTTCAGCTCCAGAGCAGAAGTCACATGGGCAGCCAGATGCGAGGGGATTTAGAGTTCATCTTTTTGAGAGGAGAGTTTAAACTAATTTAAAAATCATCAGAGGAACTTTGGGCAAATGCCTTCAAATCTCTATGCTCCCATTCTTTGTTTGTTTTGTTTTTGTTTTTTCATTTGTAAAACTCAGATAAATGCAGCACCCCTCCTGGATGAGCAGCTTTCTCTGGCTGATGAACAAAGCCATCAACTTCATGGTTCAAAACAACACAAATTTATTAGCTCACAGTTTTGCAGTTCCAAAGTCCAACGTGGGTTTCCCTGGGATAAAATTAAGGTGCCCAGGGCTGGAGTCCTCGGGACTCTGGGGGAGAAGCCACTTCCTTGCCCTTTCCAGCTTCCAGAGGCTGCCTGACACCTCTTGGTCCCTTCCTCCATCCTCAAGGCCAGCAACGTGCGAGTTCTTCTTAGAAGGAATCTCGCTGATCTCCACAATAAGGATTTTTCCATTGTGTTGGTCCCACCTGGATAATTCAAAAGTTTTCCTTTTTTAAAAGTCATATGATTAGAGATCTAAGTTCTACCCATGATTTTAATTCCTTGCCAAAGCCCGGCTGGCTGGGCAAAATAACGTGTGTGTGTGTGTGTGTGTGTGTGTGTGTGACGAGCAACTTGTGTAGATTGATACAGCAGGAGTAGGAGCCGTTTATTGTAGGACAGGAGTGGTATTTATACATTCCACACAGCTTATCTTAATTAGCATAAACTAGATACATCAGTCAACCAATAAGGAATCTCCACATTCAATGGCTTGCTTTTGTTACTTCTCAAACCACTCCCTCTGGCATTTTGCCAGGCACCATCCAGACTTGTTTACAGACTCTAACATTTCTCTGGCAAAATGCCAGGAGCCATCCTGACTTGTTTACAGACTCTAACAATTCCTTTTGCCGTGGAACATATTTTCAGATTCTGGGGATTAGGGCATACCTATCTTTGGGAGGCCATTATTCTACCTGCCACAGTAGGGTTGTTGAGGATATCAAAAGATGTGACCATTGAGCATGGTGGCGCTTGTCTGTTATCCCAGCAACCCAGGAGGCTGAGGCAGGAGGATCAAATGTTAGAGGTCAGCCTCAGCAATTTAGTAAGACCCTCAGCAACTTAATGAGGCCCTGTCTCATAATTTTAAAAAAGGACTGGGGATGTGGCTCAGTGGTAAACTGCCTCTGGGTTCCATCCCCAGTGGGTGCACATGCACACACACACATGCACACACACACACACACAAAAGTGATCTAGGTGATACATCTTGATATATGCCAGCACATGGGAAATAGTAAATACCAGCCACTGCCCTTATGCATCTGAGCCACTGAACAAGTCCCTTTGGCACTGCCTGGCATGGCATATAACAAGGGACCTGGTCCAATCTCTTCCTAGATATGTTTGAAGCTCAGAGAGGGATGATGATTTGCCCAAGGTCACACAGCAAGTGGAGGTAGGGCTGCTCCCTGCCAGCCCCCTAACTGTAGCAAGTTGCCCCCCATCTACCTGGAGGACCCAGGATGAATAAGTGTGGGGCCTGTGTCTTCCTGGGTAGATCCTGTCGATCCTGAAAGGCAAGCTGGTGGTGGGTCATGACCTGAAGCATGACTTCAAGGCCCTGAAGGAGGACATGAGCAGCTACACCATCTATGACACATCCACAGACAGGCTGCTGTGGCACGAGGCCAAGTTGGACCACTGCATGCGGGTCTCCCTGCGGGTGCTGAGCGAACGTCTCCTCCACAGGCTCATCCAGGTGAGGACTCCTCCTGCTCCTCAGGGTGGGGCCACCCAGGACAAGCCAGGCAGCCTGTCTGAGGCGTTGCTCCAAGGGCTGGGCCTCTCCGTCCAGGACTGTGGACAGGATGGCTTCAGTACAAATATTTACCCCCAAGACTCTGTTCCCTCTACTCCTGAGAGGTGTGTGCTTGTGAGAGGGGGGGAGTGTTTTGTTTGGGCTTCCGGAAGCAAGGATGGGGTTGCCAGAGTTTGACTTGAGAGGTGGCCTGGGAGGTGCTGGGAGATTGCGAATGAGGCAGGGGCGGGGGGGTACCCAACAGGCATTTGCTTTTGCTGGTTCAAATCAAGCCAGTTTCCCTGTGGGCAACGAAGCTTATGCCACCACAGAACTCTGGGAAATGGTGTCAGGCCATCACCTCTGATGTACCCCAGGGTGGGGTTCAGGAGTTGGGGTACTTACCCCCCAGTTCCCATCAGGCATTGCTCCAATTCCCCAGCCTTTCTGGCTGGTGGGCAAAGCTGGCCCCAGCAAAGCCAGCAGGTGAAGCCACTCGGATGTGGGGTGGGAATTCCTGGAGGGAGGGGCTCAGGGAGACCGCCAGATGCTAACAGCCAGCTGCGCACCCTGGGGCCCTCCATCCAGGTCAGCAACTCTTTATGGAGCACATACTCCTTGCCAGATGCAAGGGACGCAGGGGTGAGCAAGACCTGGCTCTGTCCCAGAGGCACCCTTGGTTGGAGGGGAGGTGGCACCGAGCCCAATCATCAGCCCACAATTCGAGGAACACCCGGTGGAAGGAAGAACAGTCCTCTGGGAGCAGGAAGGAAGGGTGGGACTGGCCGGCCAGAGACCAGGTGTGGACAGAGTTGGATGAGTCCTAGTCTCAGAGAACAGGAGCGTAGGGCGTGAACCAGGCCCGAGATGGAGACTGCTTGGCTGGCTGTGGGAGCACAGAGCCCTCGCCCTCCTTGCAGGAATTGGGTTGGAAGCAGGGGTGGGCTTCTCATTAGCTCCATGGCACCCAAGGACCAACCCTGGTGGCTCTGGCTGGCAGAGGGGTGCCGTCCACATGTGGGTATTAGGTGTACTCTGTGGATCTCTGCGCACCTGCTCCGGTGCCACGCACTGTGCCTGTCAGTCTGAACCTGACCCTAACCCCGTCTCAGGCTCTGTCTGCTTGTCCCTGGGCTCATGAAGCCTGGTTGTTCCCCAGACTCAGCCAGCTCCCGCCTGCACCGATGCCTCCTCTCCCCCACCAGATGTTAGGTGGTAGGGCATAGCCTGATTCTCAGGATGCTGGGTTTTGTCTTGGAATGCCTGGGCCTAGTGCCCGGTGACTCCAGAGGGTGAAGCCAGGCCAGTTCCTGTCACCCACTGACACTCTTCCAAACCCAGGGAGTCAGAGGCTCAGGGAGACTCACCACAGATCACCCCAGGAATTGGGATGTTGGGGTGTGACACTGGGACCCCAAGTCCTCACTGTGTGCCTCTGTCTTCAGAACAACCATCTGGGACACAGCTCAGTGGAAGATGCGCGGGCAGCGATGGAACTCTACAAGATCTCCCAGGGAATCCGAGCTCGCAAAGGGTTGCCCCGAGTGGCTGTGCCATACTGAAGCTCCACCAGTCCCCTCCCCAGAGGCTTTCTTATCTTCAAGATGGCATCTCTTGCTTTTGGAAAATGCATCTTTGGCAGTAAAATGGCTGTATATTTTGTCTATTCCATGAGTGGATCCTGTTCTTTCTCGCGTCTCTCTGAGCCAGGTTAACTGTGCCAGGACCCAGGCTGGGCGCTGTTCGGAGGGAATGAAGACACGTGTCCTGCATGTGGACAAGGGTCAAAATCCGTCATACTTTCAATCCTGGGTATCAAGAAGCCACCTGGGAATCTAAGTGACCTGTGCCTCAGTGGATTCCTCTACTCCCTATTCCCATTCAGTTTGTAAGTAGAGGGGTAGCATTCTTTCCTGAGGTGGCACGCTGCTCAGGGATCCAGGATCCGCCTGTCTCATCTGGAGACTAGATCCACAGCTTTGAAGCAAAGGTTCCATGAGTGCTAAGGGTGCCACCCTGCGTCTCCTTTGTAAGACAAGGAAGTGAAGGTAGTGCACTCTGGGATCAGAACTAGTTCAGAATCCTGACGTTGCCATTTTGTAGCAATGTGACGACTGCTCCCTCTCTCTTCATCTGTAAGACACAGATGACAACAAGTCATTGGGTTCTTATGAGATGGTGCCCGTGGCACCACACCTGTCCTAGCTTAAGCACCCATCAAATGTGAATAACTGTGGTTATTCCCTGGACCACCTGCAGATGGGTGGGTGGGGGAACCTAAGGAAGGGAACTCACTATGTTCCAAGGACCCAGCTCTCTGGGGAAGGGCCTAGTGTATGTGCAGAGGATCTGAACTCATTAGAGTTGACTGGGAAATGTTTATTTAAGTCTTGTTTGCCCCTTCAGATCCACTAAACCAGGATCACTGGGGTGGGATCTGGCATCAGTTTTTTAATGTCCACAGGTGATCCTAATCTTAAGCCATTTGAGCCCCTGAGGTGTACTTTTTAATCAATCCCAGGACCAGAGCACATTGTGTTCACACTCCAGCTCATCAGCATTCCCTGTGATTTCTGACTCAGTGGATCTGGGGTATGGAGTCAGAGAAATTGTGTGTGTGTGTGTGTGTGTGTTACTGAGGATTGAACCCAGGTGCGCTCTACCGCTGAGCCACATCTATGGTCGTTTTAATTTTTAAATTTTGAAGCAGGGTCTCACTAAGTTGTTGAGACTGGCCTCAGACTTCCAATACTCCTGCCAGACTTCTAACTCACAGGGATCACAGGCTTGCACCACAGCACCCCGCGTGGGGCCCAAGAATTTCTAACAAGGTCCCTATCAATACTGATGCTTCTTCTGAGACGCACTGCCTAAGCATCAGGTGATTCAAATGTGCAGCAACAGTTGAGAGCTGGCCCAAAGAGCTGGGCGCCACTGGGGTAGACTTGGCCACCTGTCCAGCATCTTCTTCCTTGACTGCTTGCTCATGCAGAGAGGTCTGCTGCCCTGCAAGATGATCCTAGGTAGCCCTCCTGCACAGAGGAGGAACTCAAGGGAAGATTAAGGACTCACAGGAATTCAGATGCAGACCTGCCCAACCCCAAACCATAGTTCTTTTCTCTCAGTTGCTTAATGATTGCAGCGCCTCCCATCTGCACTGCTGACCTCTGGGAGCCTGGAAGAATCCCTCCTACTACTAAGAGGGTGCCATTTGCTCTCCTGCCCTATTCCCTGAGTTCCAGAGTCATGACCAAGGTCTGCTGGTCTATGGCTTCTTATGAAGCCTCAGAGCTGGGTGTACCAACATTTTATGGCCACCAGGTGGTGCCCTTGGGCCATCTGTCTGCCAGGCTGCCTTGCCTGCAGAACCAACCTGAGGGTACTTTGGGATGAGAGTAGGGACAGTGCCTTCAAAAATGCCTAGAGGGTTGCTTGAATGAACCCGCTAGTCTGTCCTCCCTTAGCCGCAGATGCTGAGGCTCAGAGAGGGGCTGGGACGTGCCCCAGGGCATACCATGATGCAGTTTGTCCTGGGAGGCCACCCAGGTCCCATGACTCCCAGCCCAAAATTGTTTCCGAAACTTCAGGTACACTTGAAGGTTGGGACAAGATGAGATTCCCAAAGGTAGGACAGTTCTAAGGGAAATCTCTACCTGAACTTCCTCCTTCAGGCTGTGACTTCATGCCCCGAGGAAGAGAAACCTGGGGAGCCCTCTGCTCCACCTCCCATGGGGGTCACTGAGGTCAGAGTCAGGACCTCAGAGGACAGCAGTTGACTGATTCCACTCACAGGGCGCTTGACCGCCTGTGTTTTACCCACACAATCGCACACAGTCCTCTAGGAGCCCCACGTGGGATAATTTCCCATCTTTAGATAAGGAAACCAAGCCCCGCTCAAACCAAGCCCAAACCCAAGCTCAGTCGTCCAGCAGACCAGCTTATGGACAGCCTAGAGTAGCGCCTCAGGAAGCCAACCAGAATCCTCAGGAGCCCAGCTATTACCTGGTGACCAGGCTCGTCCCTATTCACCTTCCACCCCCACCTCCTCATGCAAAATGGGAATGTTAGCCTAAAAATAGAGCCCAGGGAAGCAGAATCACTTTAAGATCTGCCCTGGCCTGTACACTATCAGGTGAAATCATGCTCCCTGAGGATGCTGCTCCCTCTTGGTTCTGTCCTCTGAAAAGTGCCCATCAAGGTCCACCCAGCCACACAGGGAGGAGGCAGGACTGGGCTCCTCAGAGCTACTTTGTTCTGGGCTCTTCTCCCCCAACCCTTCAGTGTCCCCAGATTAGTTTCCACCTCCCCGAGCCCCACCCCACCCCTCCCCTCCTTCCCCTCTGCGGCTGGCATCCTGCTCTGGGCCCAGCCCCTCTCTTTCTCTTGTCCCTTTTCTTCCATGCACAGTGCCCCTGTCTTGGGTCCTTTCTCCAGGCTCTAGACCGAGGAGGGGCCATCTCTTCTCTTGGCAGGAAGGCCAGGAGAGTGATTGCTGACCTTGGTCGTAAGAGCCTGTCTCTGGAGGCCATGACAGATCTGGCCTGATGGAGGCATGGGGTCAGAGGTGGTGGTTCCAAGTCCAGGTGAGCTCTATCTGGTTTCCCAGCTGGAGCCAGACAAATGGATGGCTCACGCTGTCTGGTGTTGCCTGAGCCCATAGCAAGCATCAGTGTATTAGGAGACTCTGACCCCCCTCCTCCTGCTCAGTCGGGTGAGAAGGGTGTGTGATCAGCCCCTCTTCTCAAAGGGCACGTGTGTAAATACCTCAGGAGCCAGTTCTGCAAAAAGAAAAAGAAAGAAAAAAAAAGCAAATAGGATTGTCTGTGCTGTGGAGAACTGGGGGGCCTGCCCTATTGCAGTGGGCAGTTGCCCTTAAACCCCAATAGATGATGGCCACGCAGAAAGGCTGGCCAGAGGCACATCTTAAGGACCCTGTCTTGCCTATAGGCAACCAGCGTGAGACCTAAGCTGCACTCCAACTCCCAGGTGACACCTGCCTTTTTTTGCCTGGATCCATCAACTTGTGGCCCAGATGTATCCAATGACAAATGTTAATCACCTTAAAAGTGAGCAGGGCACACAGCTGTCATTCCAGGAGTTGGGAGTTTGATGCGGGAGGATTGAAAGATGGAGACCAGCCTCAGCAACTTAGCAAGACCCTATTTCAAAATGGAAAATGAAAAGGGCTGGGGATATGACTCAATGGTAGAACACCCCTGGGTTCAAATCCGAGTACTGCAAAAATATAAATATAAATATAAAGCCTCCTTGGAGTGCATCTGGGTTTATGGACAGCAGGGTCTGCTCCCCTGAAGTTCCACCCAGGATAAATGTAATCCTACTTTGACGGGATGACCTGCTACATACCTTCAGGTGGTTTTCTGTGCTATTCCTCTCCCCTGAGTCCTTGACTTTAGTTCAAGGTCCCAGATTTCTTCATTGCTTTCTGTGGAGACTCTCCCCAATTCCCTTCTTCCTCACCACCGGTGGACCCACCTCCCAGGCCAACGCCCTGGCTCTCCTGGCCCATCCCCCCACACACAATTAACCCAACTCCACTCTCAGTGGTTCCTTAACAAATGGGGAAAAGGTGGGAAAGAAAACAAAAAAACCAAAAAACAGAGTCAGCAGAACTAAGGCAAAGAGCAGCCTCCTCCCTCCAGCCCAGGGCCAGTAGATCCTGCAGCATTGGCAGAATGAGCGAGGGTTCAGGGGACAAGAGCCATCTCCTGCCACCTCACCCTGAAGCATCGAGGAAAATTTGGGGGGTGGCTGGAAATAACCTTGTAAAACTGACCACGGCTGGAACACACCTGAGTCACCTCTGACTCAGACCCAGACTCTCTGGGGCGGAATGAGGGGCCAGGAAAGGCTGCTGGCCCCTCTTAAACCCCTCGTCTCCCTCCTCCTCCTCCCACCCAGCCCCAGTCCCAGTGGAGAAAAGTTCTCCCGCTTCAAGGAAAAGATCCTGCAGCATCCCTGTGCTTCCCTGGCCCTGGACTGCTGTGTCTCTGGGCACACGGTTACCCTGCTCCCTCAGGGCCCCCAGCCCCATCCCAGGCCAGCTGCCGAGGGTCTGTCGGCCAGCGAGGTCCCCGTTCCAGGAGCTGCCCTGCTTCCTGTGGGCCCCAAGGCCAAGAGGCTTACTCACAAATGGAACAATTTCTCCTCTATATGGAAAGAACATATACTCTTCCTGCTGGGGCATGAGAGGGTTTTGAGTAGCTTTGCCCAGACTTGGAGGAAAAGGCAAGCGCTGGCGGGGCCCCAGCACCCTCATTTCAAGTCCTGTGTGTTCCTCGGCAGAGCCGGGAGGCCTCGGCTCCAGGCACAAGGAGGTCCCAGGGAACAGGGATGGGGACGCTTGGCTGAGCTGGTCCCCTTTCTCAGGGCTGGATATCCTCCTGGGCACCACATCGTCCTATGCCACTCCTGGAGTTTAGGGCTGGGACAGGGAATGGGGGAGGGGGTGGATTCAGCTTTCCCCCACCCTGTCCCAGCCTAGTCCCTGCAGCTGTGTCCCTGAGGAGGGGTTGGAGCAGCTCTGCTTGACTGACCCCCATGCAAGACCCTGGGTCTGGCACAGGAGCTGGGGTGGAAAGGGAGGCTGGGAGGGCCTGAGGGAGGAGAGGATTAAAATAAACTTTTCCCCTGCTGCTCTAGGGA